AATCACAGAAATCACGAAAATGTGTTTCTACAGGATTCTGTGGGTTTATGCGGAACTTTAGCTCCTGCATCACCGATTTTTCTTGATAATTTCAGTTAGATTTCTATTCAACACTTCAACAGATTCATTGTCTTCTCATTTGATTTTACATGAGAAACAATTATGATTTTAGTTAAGAGATATTTTCTAATAATAATATGTCAATGACGTAAGTGCTTTGACTTATCATAGCACATAATATTTTGTGCCCCTCGCGGTTTTGTAACCTTGTCCATGCTCCACTTCATCGTCCTTTTCTTTATTGGTTATCTTCTCCAATCTCTTAATTTTCCAATCCAAAGTCTAAGAATGAGCTCTTCATTGCTCAATTCTTTTCTCACTTAGAACAGTTCCCTATGCATGCCTTCCTTGGAGAATTATTTGGAGTACCCACTCTTGAATTTTCATATTCTTGGAGTCCATCTTAAAATCCAAGAGCCGGCCCACTAGAAATTTCATGGCACCGACTTCCTATATTTTATATTTCTGCTCCATAGACTTCCATAATTCCTTAGTTGATTTATTTGATTTGGCACACTACATAACTCACCAAACAATCCATTCAGAACATCATCCTGAAATACGAAGTCAGAGTGCTTTCAACTTTACACATCATTCATGGCTTGGATGTCTTATTTATCCTCTCTCAGAGTAAGAGGGATCATCCATCAAGAATCCTCCAAGATTCAACGTTAAGTAAAACAAGATCTTTTGAAATATTAAAATTGAAATTAAAATATTACAACCTTTTGCCAACAAGACTTAAAAGGGGGTCAATACCTTCTCTCCTAGGATACACATGATCGAACAAAACTTGGAACCACAAGGACTACTCAGATGAACTCAAATTTCTTTTCACTTTATCATCTACAACAACAACAACAAGCCTTTATGCCACTAAGTGGGGTCAATAACATGAGTTCCTTTTCTCCATTATGTCCTATTGAATTTCATATTTTCATTTAATTTTATAAATTAAGGTCATTTCTTATACAAAATGCCCAAGTCTTTTTAGGTCTACCTCTTCCTTTCTTATCATAAATCAAATCTACAGCATTTATTCTCCTAATAAGTTCATCTGTTGATCAACATTAAATTTGAACAAACCATCTATGACAACACTCTCTAATATTATCTGCCACTGGAATGTTATACACCTAACTAAGGGCAAATAGCTTGAACAAACCATCCACTGTTTTTTTGTTATTATTATTGTTGGGGATAAATATGGCTTAATAGCTTAGGGTTAGGGTTATCCATGAGATTATTATGGTGAGTCTTAGGGCTATGGTTTGTGAGAGATTTTCTATCTCTTGAATTGTAGGAATTGGGAGAAATCGCCTACCTTTTGAATTGTAGGTGCTTATCTTATGTGTTCTTGGGATTTAATTAGTGTTATATTGCTTTGATTTGATTTTACTAAATTAAAATATTTGTTTACCTTAATTTGTGTGGAAAGTTGTGCCGATTTCTGCTCAGAATCATAAGAAATTGATACTAGAGTGTTTTTATTCATGAAGAAGAAAGAATTGCTGCCTGAAAATAATTCTGCGTTAACCTACTGATCGAGCTCACGACAGACTCAAATCTCCCTTCTTTCTCCTTCTCCCACTTTTGTCTATGCAATAGAGTCATGATCGAGACTCGAAAGCAATAACAGGCTCGCAATAGATACCTGAATCTCCTATCTTTCGCCTCCATCATGACAGAGAGAGTTGGCAGAGAAGGAAACGATTGGATCGTGATATACAGAGACCCAAAACACCTATCTTTCTCCTCTCATTCTATTGATGCGACATAGTCTCGATTAGAGCTTGGTAAGAGGTGAACAACGCAGTGTATAGGGACTCGAGACTTCCATCTTATGCAACATATAGAGACCAGAAGCTTTCCTTTTTCTCATGTTCCAATTTCGGTGTGCAGTCAAATCGAAACCTTCAAGACATTATAACGTACAAGTGTTTCTAGCTTTTGTGATCGAAAATTTGCCAGAGAATGATGACAACAAAGAATGTAGATGATTTAGGAAAGGGATGAAGGAAAGGTTCTCCACCATAGAAAGAAGGTTTTCCTTCATTAACGATAGGTTTCTATGGAAGAAAACCTATCGTTAATGAGGCAAAACCTTCTTTCTATGGTTCTAGAAGCAAAGATTTAGAAGATGCGAGTTAAGAGGTAATGTTTTCTGTGTGATGAGAAGTTTTCCCCCAGACACCATTGTAAGGATCGAAAATTACATGTTTCCACAGTGTGTGGAGAGGAGGCATGGAGTGAAGAAACATAGATGGCTGTACTGGAGGAGAAACACCTTCATTTTCTTTCCACCTTGAGTACAATGTATTTTTTTGGGAGGGGTGCATTGTTATGCATCTGCCTAAGGACAATTTTGTTTTTTATTAGCCTAAGGGAAAATTGATATTTTATTATTATTGTTGTTGAGTATAAATAGGGTTTAATTGCTTAGAGTTAAGTTTTATGCGTGAGATTGTGTTTGGAGTCTTAGGGTTAGGGTTTGAGAGAGATTTCCTACCTCTCAGATTGAGGAATTGGAAGACACCGCCTAACTCTCGAAATATAGGTGTTTATCTTATGTGTTTGTGGGAGATAGTGTTATTTTTCTTTGATTTGATGCCATTGAAGAAAAAAATTGTTGGTCTTGATTTCTGTGGAAAATTATGCCAATTTCCGCTCCGAATCGTAACATGGTGCTGCTCCAACCCTGTCACGGATATCTGTGTTTCGTATTTCTTCTTTAAGTGTAAAGTCACTCATCCACCTATGCATTTTCATCTTGTCAACACTTAACTTTATTTTATGCTTCTCTTTTACAGGCCAACATTTTGTGCCATAAAGCATTATAGTTCTCACCACCATATAAAATTCTAGAAAGAACGGAGTTTAAGTTGCATGAAATGAGAAAGAGAGCTGCTCCTTTTTTTAGAAAAAAGAAATTTCTTTAAATCAGTAAAATCCTCTTTATATAGGTTATTACTGCAAGGGATGTTGCAAAGATTAGAATAATGGAGGATTTGATCTCATATTTTACCAACCTTTTAAATTCCTTAGGAATTGATATCACAGGTTAAAAAGTTTTAAATACCATGGGATTCAATCATTGGTTACAAATTTGAGTATCGATTTTTCATTTAGCCATTGTGGTTGTTTGTTTTTTACTCAGTTCTCACTATTTCTTTTAGTCATGTATTTGTACACTGGTTCTCTAACTTCTGCTGCTAGAACTAGACACTTTTTGGTGAATTTTTTCCTTCTCGCTCTTTCACTGACTAATTCATATATATTTTTCATATTCATGTTATCGGCACAAGTAGCTTCGCGCTCACAAGCTTCTTCTTGAGAATGTTTCTTAATGCCTTATTTTCATACTCTCTCTCACACACACACACGCACACACAGACACACACACAAGTGAAACTGCCTTTCTAGTTGATTGCTCAATCTCACACGTATATTCATGATTTTAAAGTATAATTTTATATCACTTAATTTTTTATGCCATTTGATCTTTTGATTATTTTCTGCTTTTGAATAACTAAAGATTAATATTATTGAACATATTATTATATTGGCTGCAAAAATAGTACTTAATGTGGTATAAGTTTGGCTTATTAGATGACCATTATATACATGTAGTATATGCATAGATTATATTCAAGACTTGAATGCTTTTAAGCATAACTTCACTTTGCCCTTTGTGCATTGGAAAAATAAAAATTTCATGTGAAGAATGGACATTGGTACTGGTATCCTGCAACAATGCTGGTGTTTTTGATCATCTTACATTGAAGAAGAGAGGATATGGCTGCATCAATATTTGCTACAATGGAAACAGAAGACAAATCAGCAATGGAATGATTTGCCGATGCTGATGAATCTTGATACTTTTGAAGTGGGGAATAGTAGGTTATACGAACATTGAAAGAGAACAATGTTCGGTTCTAGTGCTGCGGGAAAGAAGGGAGAATGTGAGGTGAAGTTTGGGGGCTCGAAGTGTTGTTGATTGTGGGATTTGGTTTTTCTAAGAGAGAAGTTGAAACATGCCCAGATTGCTAAAAGGCTGATAAACATTATGAGAGGCCATCATTTTGAATGGTTGTGCTCTCCATTTTCTTTCTCCTTCATTCCTTAAAATTACTATATAAGATTACTCTTTTGGAGAAAAATGAATGATTTACAAGAATGTTAACTCATTAAAAAATATCTTTCTAGAAAATCAAAACCTCAGGTCCTAAATCTATACTGAAGTTAGATTTGTTTGGTTCAATTTCAAAAGTTATTTTTTTTTATTTTTTTATATTTTAAGTTATGAATTTTTCTATTGCCGTCTGAGCCGGATAATGACCATTCTCTTTTAATGAACTTTAAATGTAAGATCAAATTGGTTCATCCTTTCATCATTTAAGGAGCAAAATAACATGAGCTTAACGTCTTAAAGATTGCAAAAAATCCAGCAGTTGCGCTGATTTTTTTTTTCTTTCTTTTATGGATAATTTTGATAACATGGAAGTGCTTTGTGATTTTGACACCAGTCCTTCAAATGACATTATTTTTATTGCTCACAGCTCCAGTCCGTCCTAACAGCATATATATATATTTTTTAATTTCTTGCACATACTGGAAATCTAATGACTATGTACTTTATCTTAATCTGCTTATTCTTGTGGCTCCCTTCATTTTTTGAATCAGATGCCAATGCTTATTCTTATGAAGCAGACAACTTTGTATGCTTAAATTTTTTATAGAATCTGGAATGCATCTGTAATTAATTGGAATTCATTACACCCGCTTGCATTCCATAGTTTTTAAACGTTTGAGCTGTTTATTACTTTATCTTACTGGGAAACTTTTCTGAACTGTATTTGATTGCTATTTTTCTTTGATCTGTTTTTGAAAACCATTTAATTGAACTAGGTTTGTCTTTCTACTAACTCTTGCTTTTGTAGGTACAATAATAGGAGGAAAAATGTTTGGCGGCTGCTGTTCCTCATGCTGCTCGGTTCTTTGCTTGTAAGGTTGGTACATCAGCTTAATGGCTTGAACTGATTCTCTATGTGTTTATGCTTATACTCTGATGATTGTAGTCTCGGATGCTCGGCCATAATGTTCTTGGCATCTTACGATAATTATCCAGGTGGACATGCGATGAAAGCTCTTCATCAAATGGGTAGGTTATTTTTGATACACCTCTCTACACTCATTTATTATTCAAGAATTTGTATGCCCATGTTTTTACAACCTATTCCTTCTTTTGTCTGTCATTCAGATGAGTTTTATGGAATATTTACATGCATTCCACTTAATTCCTATTTATTTACACATCTAACACCTAAATTGTAATTTTTTACGTATATGACACCTTATTAATTTTACATATATGCTGGCAATAATGTATTTCCCTTTTTAAAAGTTAAAATAGTGCTAGTTTTTTATGTGATATGAAAGATGTGGGTGGTTTAAATGTAAAAGGTAGAGTTTATGTGTTAGATATGTGAATGCATAGGAACTGCATAGTATGTATGTAAATGCCCCAAGTTTTATATATTGATATGATGTTTCACTCAAGAAATGGGACATCCACTTCATCGAACACAACTTTTAACTGTGAGGAAAAGTGCCGATCAGAAGACTTGGCTGCTTCCAACAAAGGAGAGCCTGACCTGTATGATTTGCTCGTGTATTAACTCATTCATGATTCGAGAGTAGCCTGAACAATTTTCTGCTTCTTAATGGGATGAATCTCGATGAGCCAATGAAACTGTTGATACTCTAAAGAACTCAACACTAGTTTTGGTCCTCGGACTATCAGATTTCTCAACACTGGGAGGCTTGTCTTCACAAACAGCAGATGGGACCCGTTTTGTATGCATTCCTTGTTGGTTAGAAAGCTCAGTAGTGCCCTTTCCAAGATGGCTATCATGAATACTCCTTCGTAAATATCCAATGGGAATCGGACTGCGATTTATTTGATGCTATCTATGATTATTCTAGTGCAGTTTGATTTTTTTTTCTTCGGATGCAATGGACTGTCGGCGTTTAAAAAGGGGGGGG